TTCTTCATCAAAAGAGGTAAGAGAACAAATACTTGTAAATACTTTTTCCCAGAAATGGCATTTTTATATCGTAAGAGTCATCTTTCCTGGTGTTCTCTGGAGCAAGAAAAAGCTTAAGTTTACTTAAAATTTGTGTTTAACATCAGCTATGACTAACATCTCGGACAGCTAACAATTGGTTTTGACTTGATTGCTAAGTCTTTTTTGAAGTATATTTTCATAGCCTTCATATATCCTTAAGTAGCAAAGCATTTCTGCCAGATTAGATTAAGACAATGGAAAAGGCAGAGGGTGACCACCGCTAGATGAAGCACAGGTGACACTGAGACCTCTCCATAATGTGTAAACAAGTCTTGTGTAGGAAGAGAAAACGCTGACAGTGAACCAGGGAAGCAGTGATCAGGAACGTATTCCAGGTCTGACAAGCAACTACAACTTAGACACCATGAAGAAAGTCTGGCACTGATGATGGAATGTACTAGAAATTTCAAGGAGAGACACTATCTGAAGGGAAGAGGCTGGTTTCAGCTCTTGCCCACCCCTCTAACTCTGATCATGTTGATCTGATGACATTATTGCCTGGCTCTCAATTCAAAAGTGACTTTTCTTTATCCAAGAGATCAAACCTCAACTCCTTTGCATTCCAGTCCACATCTCTCTGCCCAGCCTCCTGTCCTCCTGCTTCCCGTTCACTGCCACTGGACCCTCCCTGCAGGCCTACCCACCCTCCCACTACACTTCTCCTCCCACTATGGTGGGCATAACTCTAGTAAAGCAATTATTTTCTTGCACAGTAATGATTGTTTTCTGCCTCTCTTTTTTAAAAAGATTTTATTTATTCATGAGACACACACACACACAGAGAGAGAGAGAGAGAGGCAGAGACACAGGTAGAGGGAGGTAGAGGGAGGTAGAGGGAGGTAGAGGAAGGGAGAAACTCCATGCAGGGAGCCTGATGTGTAACTCCTGATGTGGGTCTCCAGGATCAGGCCCTGGGCTGAAGGCAGTGCTAAACCACTGCTCCATGTTATCTGTCTCTTATCACTCCAGTAAACAGCAAGCTACTTGAGGACAAAACCCATTTCTTACTATCTTTGTATTCCCAGCCCCTAACATAACATATGACACCTAATAAATACTCTGCAAATATCTCTTTAACAAACGAGAATGTTCTTCAGTGAAATGGCCCCTATCAGAGACCAGAGAAAAGAACTTAAAATTCTTGTTCTTAAAAGTAAGAGTAATACATTCAAAGTTATCCCTATTTAACAAAAATGCAATGATTGACATAAATGCTTAAAATGTAAGAATTTAAATTGCATGAGAAGTTAGTTGTTTCAGGAACTGTCATCCCCAAATGGTAATGATAGTAAACGGAAAAAAAAGGGGTCGAGACTGTAATTATAGATCAATACACATCAGCCATGGGTACAGAAATAGCTGTTAAAGACCAGACATCTGCAATATTAAAAAAAAAGAAAAGAAAAAGGTAGACAGAAATTTCTTACTTGTTTTTAAAAATAAAATGATAATTTCTTGGGAATTATAAAGTTTCAATTTAGAAACAACTGGACTCTTCTTGCATGAAATTCTTGGTTTTGTTCTTCAGCTGATGATATAAGCATGTAAAACAGTACCTTTGTCTCTTAGATCAACTGCTTCTGTATGAAATGTGTTTATCTTCTTCAGAAATAATTTCCCCTGATTGTGACACAACTAATTTCGTTATTCTCAATACACGATAGTATTATCTATGGCGCAGGGATAGCAGGGATACTTGAACTCCAGAGAAACAAAGAGTGTGTTCTTCATGACATTCACAAAACAACCCTATTCTAGAAAATATGATCTCATATTTGAATAAATAAGGAAAAGTGTTCCGAAAATTTTACCTAATTCACCACAAAAATGGAGGATCTTAAATTCCAGATTTTATAACAGAGAAAAATAATATTGTTGGCAGCCTGCAAGGAAATAATATTTGGAAATGTACTGTACTTCAAACTATTAGCACTTATTTATAATAGTGCAACGTTCTTGAAATATAAATTTACTAATTGAAAAAGACTGTTATAATAACAAATTGCTATGAGTTAGGCACAGGTATAGGGAATGCTAGTGTTCTCTATGTATTCCTACTTCTTAATTTCTTTTAATTACCTTTTCCTTTTGAGCATTTATAAAGCTTTTATTTTATTTTATTTTATTTTTAATTTATTTATTTATGATAGACATAGAGAGAGAGAGGCAGAGACACAGGAGGAGGGAGAAGCAGGCTCCATGCCAGGAGCCCGATGTGGGACTCGATCCCGGGACTCCAGGATCGCGTCCTGGGCCAAAGGCAGGCGCTAAACTGCTGAGCCACCCAGGGATCCCCTAAAGCATTCATTTTAAAAATGACAATTATTCATGTCTATTAAGTGGTCTTGAAACTGTGACTTTGGGGGCCATCATCTATGTAGTTAAAATAGGAAGAGTGGCCTTTATGAGATGGACCTAGTTAGACCCCTGATCCTCTTGCTGACAAATCCCTGCTGTGTACAGACTCCATTAAAAAGTTCTGATCCTCAGTTCTCTCACCTTTAAAAAAAACATCAGGGATGCTATCACCAAAGGTCATTCCAAACATGCAACACACGTATATAGCAGATGTTCAATAAACTAATATCCATCCACCAAAGATCACTGCCTCCCTGCTTGGCTCCAGCCACACCAATCTTCTTAGAGTTTGAGGGAAGAACTGAGCACGTTAATGTCTCAGGGTTTTACACTAGCTGCTCTATGGATCTGGAAAGCTTGTCTCCTCCACTTCCACAAGAGCTTTTGCCTTCTTAGCATTCAGGTGTCTGGTCAACCATCACTTCCTTGAGCAGCCTGTCATTAGAAGATTGCATCTTCCAAAGACAACTGCAACAGTGCCTTCTGTGCTCTTCTACAATGGGGACGTGGAGATCGATGTCACCACCCCTTCAACAGGTGTCAGCTCAGACTGCTCAAGCAGTCAGCCTATGACAGAGATAACACATGATTTCCGAAACCAGGCCATAAAAGGAGAAACAATGCACAAATGTTCACAACAGCATTATAGCCCCAAACTGGAAGCAAACCAAATGTCCACTGACTGCTGAACAGATAAACAAGATGTAGCATGTCCATTCAACGGTATATTAGTTGGCTGTTAAAAGGAACAAAGTACCAAGAAAATGCTAAAAACATGAATGAATCTTGAAAACACACTATGTGAAAGAAGCCAGGACACAGAACGCAGTAAGAGTAAATACATTCAAAGTATGTATTTACTTAGCCTACAAAGGCTCCCTATTGTAGGATTCCCCTGATATGAAATATCCAGAATAATGACATCTACAGAGACAAAGTAGACTATAGCTCCCTGCAGGGGAGGGGGGCTAACTGGTCTGGGTTCTGTTGTCAATGATGAAAATACTGTGGAATCTGACAGTGGTAACAGTTACACACCTGTGTGAATGTAGTAAAAAACCACTGCTGGATTTTATGGTATGTGGCCTGTACTCTATAATAAAATTATTACAAATATACCGTGAAAAAGAATTTGCAAAAAACCAACAAAACATTTCTTAATGGTTTACTAGGGGAACAAAAAAGCAAAAACAATAGGAAGCAGCTGGTGACTTGTTCCCTGGGACTTCCACTTTTAGAATCCAAAGCCAGAGAAGTCCAGACCCATGGTGAGGCTGAGGCTCTAGGTCACTGCTCCAGTTGATAGCATGTCATGGTACCAGCAGACTGGAGCATCGACTGCCGGATGAGTGAGGATGCTTCCACGTTCCAGCCTCCAGCCACATGGTCCCAACACTGCTGTAAAGTCCTTCTGGCTGAGGCCCCACATGCTGTGGAGCAGAGATAAGCCATCCTTGCTGTCCCCTGAGTATCCCTGACTCTGAATCAGAGATCACATAAAATGCTTGTTTTTCACTATTACGATTTGGAGTGGTTTGTTACAAGGCAATAGTAATTTGAATTCTATCTAAAATAGCTACCATACCACACCCTTCCCTTTATCTAGCTTTATTTCTCTTCCTGACCCTTATATTCATTAGATGACATTATGGTATTTACTTATTTTTATTGTTTTGCTCCAGAGAGCAGGGTCTTTTATGTCTCCTGTAACCACATCACCCAGGCAAATACTTAATATGTAGTTGACACACAATATATATTTATTGAATAAACAAATTAACAAATTATTATGGAACCCTCAGCATGGGGAGGCCACTGTTTGGGACCTCCTTTGGCATGAATTCCAAGATGTAGCTACTGTCATTTCATTAACTTTCCCTATAAAATACTTTCCAATAATGAAGTATGGAAATCCACAATACTATGAATATAAACTGTCTTTGTTTTGATGGAAAATCCAAGATGGCTTATAAAACCGCAAACATTCTTGCTGATGCCATTCGATTATTTGATTTTAATGAATGGATCAAAATGGGCATAATCTAGAAATAAAATAGAAATAAAATGTATATGGTCAAAAATAAGAAGTGACTTACTTTACTGAAGCTATTAGTACCTTTGTGTTCAAAAAATTTAACTGCTACATATTCTTGCTCTATAATACCATGCTAAACGAGTCAGAGAAAAATAGTTTTGATTCACATTGGTGGAATTTAAGAAACAAAACAAATGAGCAAAGGGAAAGAGACAAATCAAAAAATAGACTCTTTGTAGTTAAGAACACACTGATGGTCACCAGAGGGGAGGTGGTGGGAGGATGGATGACATAGGTGATGGTGATTAATAAGAGCCCACTTATCATGAACAGTGAGTCATGTACAGATATGTTGAATCACTATATTGCACGCCTGAAACTGATAAAACACTGTATGTTAACTATACCGGAATTAAAAATTTTTAAAAAGTAGTAGGTACTGCAGTGTTTTTTTAAAGCTATATGGTTTACTTCATAAAACATTATGGCCATGTTAGTTTTTCCTATGAATGGAAGCATAGCCTACCTCTGGTGCCAGATACTCTGGTGTGCCACAGAATGTCTTCATGGTGGCTGCATCTGTAATCCCTTCTTTGCAAAGTCCAAAATCTGTAATTTTTATGTGGCCATCTTTATCCAGCATCAAATTCTCCAACTGTGTAGCAAGAAAAATGACATAATTTGTTTTATAGTTTTCAAAAATAGGAAAATACTGCTCTGCAAAATTATTGAATGCTGCGTAAGTTATTTTGGAAAGAGGACATTGCTGTAGTTAATAGAACTTTCAGCACTTACAAACCCTACAGCTTCCTAAGTCATGTGTAAAAAGAAACATGTTTTATCAAATACTTCATGATGATAAAATTATTGATTTTTTAAACCAATGGCAGTAAGAACCATTATTCTGTGAGTTCTGAGTACTAAAACCTAAGTAACTTCTCAAAGATAACAGCGATCCTTTTTTTTTTCTTAATAAATTGTGATCTAAACAACCCCAAAGAGACGAGCATCTTCTTCTAGATATATACAGATGGTTTTCAACAATTGCTCTTGGGAATCTATTGCTATTATAAAATATTCACTTACAGAAATGTTTTTTGGTGGTTGTTGTAAATCAAACCTAAATCTTATTTTGTAAGGTAAGGCGATATCCTCTTTTTGAAGATCTTTGTAATAAAGAAATACCAACCCTTTTAAACATAAAAAGAAAAAGAATATCAAAGTCAAACATTCAACAGTTAGTGAAAATATATAGCACAAATATTATAAAACTGGAATCTCTTTGAACCCATTAATTCAAAAACACCAAAGAGAATCATAAAGACTTAACCAAAGAACCAAAGAGCAAGATCATTGACCTCAAGTGGAAATTATAAATGTCGGGAGTGGAGGTGGGGAGTGGAGGGAGGAGTTTGTGCAAAATCAATGCAATTAAAAATAGCAAAAATAACTGATCTTTTCCTCCCAATTTGAACCCAAATTTAGGATTATCATCACACAAGTACACATATGAGTTCTAACTTGTGATCCTGCAGCGTTATATAGACAAGGCTCCTAAGCTTCCTCAGTCATATAGATATAACCTAAAGGTACACACAAGAAAATACATACACAAGAAACACGTGACAAATGTATTAGCAGGATAAATGACATTTAGCTTAGTTAAGGAGTAGATACTGATTCTCCTCCTTTATGTGATGACATATAACAGTGCTTACCTGAACTTCTGAAGTCAACATCAATTTCAAAACAGAACTCCATATAAGAATATAAATAGATATCAATCATATAAAATGTGATATTGTACTTTGTCATATTATCCAAGGTCTTACAAATGAAAAACCAAATACAGTTAAGGAAGCTATATTCACTAAAGAAAACATGAGAAGAGACCTAAGTCCTTGAATATAGTAATTAGATGTGGTTCTGGCTGAACTAAATGCTCAGTGCATGTTTCATGTACTGTACAGACTTCAGGGACATAAGTATGTCTTTCCTTGGTCTACAGGAAGATGAACGAACCCTAAATATATTGTTGACTCTTTCAAAAATATAAGTTCTTTAATTTTATCTAAATTCAGATATCTTGCATCTTCCTTCTGCTCCTCCACTAACTGGAACCTAAAAACCATGCCTAATTTGCACAGTGGCAACAGGTCCTGAATACTGAAACCAGCCAAAAACATCCAGAAAGAGTCTCTCTGTCTATGTCCCTTTCTTCAGATCACCACTGCCTGGCTCTGGTCTTTCTCTTCTTCATGCCTCTTGTTTTCTATCCCTTTTCCTTCTCTTTCAAAAACACCCTCTTCTACTCTTTCCCATCTCGCCCTACTGAGAAGTATATGCCAGAGAGTCTGTCTGTTGAATAAAAAATAAAAATTCAAATTAAATCATAAAATGCTGAAAGGTCTTCTGAAAATATTTAATAAATCTCTTTTCATTAATATCATAAAAATTCCTGCTTGTTTTATAAATCAGCTTTTTAAAAAGTGATTACAATAAAATAGTAAGAAATAAGGCCAGCCTAAGGGATGACAGTGAGAGGTGGAGCGAGGTAGCACACTGCAGGGGAGGCAGAAGAGGGCAAAATGGTCATATATGGAGTCAGGGAACACATATTAAGTTCAAGCTTTGTCCTTTCTAACTGTGCGAACTTGAGCATGCTATTGAGTTCTATGTCCCTCAACTTCATCTATGAAACAGAGGTAAGTAACAGGAGCATCCAAGGTGGTTGCTTTGAGAATTAGATATGGAGTGCAGAACTTTACACACCATAAGCATTCGATAGATGTACTGATCATTTATTAACAGTGGAGAGCTTAATGATGAATTAAAAGTTATCACAACGGTGTGTGCTTTTCAAGACAACACAGGAAAGTTCTGGAACAGAACCCAATAAAACACTTTGGTCAGCTCAGTGACATTGTTAAAAACACAGTCGATATTTCTACTGAATAAAACAACAAAACATAAATACTTCGTTGTTTTTGAGCCCCCCCCCCTTTTTTTTAAGATTTTATTCATTTATTCATGAAAGGCACACAGAGAAAGAGGCAGAGAAAGAGGGAGAAGCAGGCTCCATGCAGGGAGCCCAACATGGGACTCGATCCCAGGTCTCCAGGATCATGCTCGGGCCGAAGGTGGCGCTAAACCCGCTGGGCCACTGGGGCTGCCCTGAGCCCGTTTTTTAATGGTGTCCACCTCCTCCCACCAACTATTTTTGCTTTCTCATCACCTTAAAATATCATTTTTTTGAGAACGACTGCCAAAAAAACAACTTATCCATCAAAAGTATCAACAATAGAGATGCATCCCCTTGCAGAAAGGATATCTCCAAATCTACTCTTGTATAAAGATAAATTGGGGGTAACCAAGTATCCAATCTTGTTAAAAAATACATAATAATTTGATGCAGATGCCTAGCAAAGTTTCTGCAAAATGTTAAAAACCATCAGTGTTGTGATTAACAAATGTGAAGGATGCACAGAATCACGTGGAAATCTTTTCAAAGCAGATCAATGGCTTAAGTATAATAAAAATCACCTGGAAATTACTTCCTTCGTGCATTTAACACTAAAGGGGACTTACTTAATCACACATTCTGTGTAAAGGAGAAATAAAAATAAAAATATTTACAAATGATCTCTTTGGTTCTTTCCTAAATCTCATGGCTATCCTTCTTCCTTTGGCTGGCTGGAAAGCACACAATGCACAGTGTCGCTTACTGTTCAGGCGCTCTACTTGTAAATTTCAAATCCATTTGTTTTTACCTCCAATCAGTCTAGTTTCCAAGACTGAACACAGGCATTATGTTTTTGCCCCATGGGTCCCTCCACTGGCAAAAGCAATGATAAAGTCAAATAGGAGGTTTGAGAGAAAAAATTATAATTATTAACAATCTGAGTGATGCTTATTATCTGTCCAGTTAGAGAGGGTTGCTTTCTAACATTTCGTTCTTTGAGGAGAGAAAAAAAATGTTTAGACTTTACCTCACAGGGTTCCCATAAAAAAAAAATGGTAACATTTTTACTCAACAGGAGTGAACAGCCTCTACCTGACAAAAGGTCTTGATTCAGTGTATATAAAAAATATATACTAGATTTGACATCTTTTTTCCTCTATGCTTTGTGGACAAGAAATCATTGCAAGAAAGTACTATGCTCTTTCTTGTTCTTGCTGGTGTGTAGCATAAAATAAAACCCTAAAAATCCTTGCTGTCCTTAGTATAGTGCTTCTCAACACTTCATAGTACAATTACAAATGAAATCTGTAGGGCATATCAGGATCAGTGGACAGGCTGCCTGAGGCCAGAGCTGACTGACCCAGAGGCTCCCTGAGCCACCTGCGCACTGCGGGAGGCCATGGCTTGGGCACACCTGTGACCCATCTATGGTGCACAGGGTGGGAAGCTCTGATACACACCAGGCTGGCTAAGTTTTTGTTCACTCCCTAATATTCTAATATAGATACACATTCTAATATCTAAGTATCGTACTTATCTCTGAGGTATCATTTTATTTAAATGGATGACACTGTGATTAAAAGAAGGAATGAGAACAGCAGTTCCCAAGGGCTCTGACAGCTGTTGGACAGTATAAGCAATCCCCCTCACTCACTCTTAGGCTCCATCATGGCACCATTATGTCAAACCCAATGTTCCATACCAAGCTGCCTTCAGGCCCAAGATGGCATAAGGAATGTCCTCTGCATACTGCCCTCTCAGGTTTAGGGGTATCTGTGTCAACATGTCATACAAGTTAACTTGTAGGAACTTAATGACCACAGAGTTAAGACTGTGTGTTGAAATACTGAAGGAAAAATGTCTCTGCTTCGACCTGCCTGAGCTAGTACAGGATTCCTGACGTATAACAGCAGAGACCCCACCTGTGTGGCCAGGCTGCTTAAGAACCCGCCTACACATAAGGAATGTAGCCCAACAGTACAATTTGATTTTCGAGGGTGAAGGGGTTCTTAATAGCAGTGGCTTAAAATTTTTATAGAAGAGGGAATCCAGAGTGACTGATAAGAATCAGAAGTAGGAGCTGGGGGATGGGTCTCGAGACTCGTAGGTAAAGCCAGCACACTGCTCTGGTTTAGCCTGTGGATTTATCTGGGGCAAGTGTCATGAGCTGAAGACCGAGAAGATTCTTGGACTATCCTTTTGCACCAGCATCGAGCCTCGGAACCTACCTAAATCTATTTGTTGGTTTCTTTTTTTTTTTAATTAATTAATTAATTTATGATAGTCACAGAGAGAGAGAGAGAGAGGCAGAGACACAGGCAGAGGGAGAAGCAGGCTCCATGCCCCGGGAGCCCGACGTGGGATTCGATCCCAGGTCTCCAGGATCACGCCCTGGCCCAAAGGCAGGCGCTAAACCACTGCGCCACCCAGGGATCCCTATTTGTTGGTTTTTCATGCTAATAATGTAAATGGTCACATTAACCATGAAATGCTGTAATTAGGTAGAGAACCAGATCAGATGAACTACCAATAGAATGTGGTAGCAATTGATGTATGATTTTCTGCCCTTTGCCCTCTTATATAAAGTCTAGAGAAATTAATTCTTAAAGAATTCCAGTATCCTTATATGTACCTTTGCATATGACCCTACTCAGCTCATTCTGTACTTGGATGGCATGGACTTTGAAAAGAAAGCTTTCACTTGCAAAATAAGAACAAGCAGAAAGGAAGATTTAATATAATTCGCATTACTGATAAAATCTCAAGAGACTTCTTCAAATTTTTACACTATCATGAAGATATGCCAGTTTTTCCTAAGTAATCACAAGAGATTTGAGTCCTCACTAAAAGAGAATTTCATATTATGATGTGTATTGATAAACTAAGCAAACTTACTTTGAAAAGTGCAACAAAAGTTGTAATAATTTATCTGCTGCTATGAATACCAACTTCATAAGGAACTATGAACTAATAAAATATCTTAAATTAACTTGCACATGAAATAAGGTTTTCCCTCCAATGATCAATCGGGCATCAGCAAATAGGTACGGATTTCCTTAAGAGGTGCAGCTATGATAGGCATTGCAAATGGATTTGCATTTCAATAAACATAAGGTCATTATAGTAAGGAGATGATCAAGACAAATCTGAGGCTGATCAATTAAAGTGGGTACCTAAATCAGTATTTGATGATGCTGTTTTCAATGTATCTGGTGAAAATATATTTAAAACACCCATTTTCCTATTTTTGGCAGCTTTATTCAAATTTTAGATTTACAAAGATGTCCTCTAGTTAATCCAATGCATTCCTTCCCCCATGCAGATTTCATTTCAACTCTAGACAGGCAGAAGGGTGTAAGGAGCAGGATACCGGGCCTGGATCTAGGATTCATGATTTTCATAATCTTGACCAAGTCACCACCTTAGTCCCTGACTTCAAGTAAGTCACTTGCTAGGCTTCCAACTTCAATGACACCACCTGTCAAGTACGGACCAACTTGAAATATCAATGATCCTACCTATAGGATCTCATTCTGTTACGCACAAACCTGTGCACTACAGATACCAATAACACTTGTATAAATTTGAATGCTAGGCTTTTAATGTCACATGTATTCTTCTCAGTGTGTATTCATGTGGCTTCTGTCCTGTGTTCTATATTTACTCAGACCTTTAAGCTAATACTATATTTTAAGAAAATAAACTTCAGACAGCAGAGACCACCTAACTGTCTAATAAACTTAGTGGTTTATGAATAAGTAACTACATGGACTGGTATATATGTATATATATTGCTGTTTAATGATCTTGGTCTAATTCCAACATCAGAAAGGACAGGGCAATGAAACTCTTATTAAATGCACTTTAATATACCAACATGTTGATTCATTTTATAAGAAATGATTAACAAAGACTATTGACCAAGACCATCCCGATGATATCATTCACTGCTCAATACTGGCAATCAGATGAGCATTCTTTTCCCGTTTGTTTAGGTTGATAGTTCCTGCTTCCAGCAGAAGTATTCTGAATAGGTTACTGAGTACTTACAAATTATTCTCATCTCTCTGAATCGAGGAAGCCCCCCTTTTCCCTATAACTAAGATCCATAGAACATGACACTTCATGAATGGGGAGAACAGCCTCAGAGAAGAGCTACTTCTAAGTCATTCTGGAAATGCTACATAACTATACATTTCAGCATGTCATATAACTAACTTTCCTTTCAAAAAATATCTAGATTCAAGACATGTAAACATCACTGGATTATTTGGCCATGCAGACATCAAACAGGGAGGCTTCATTTTATCACATTCCTGATTACAAAGACTTCAGGCTATATACAATCACACTGTTGATTTGGGTTCATTTCTGGTGCACTTTGGCATCCCTGATCTAAATGGTTTACAGTTGTATAGTTCATTTTTCCTAAATATAGTATTTATAGCTTCTTTTAAACTTTAACACATAATAGGTTATACATATACTATAAACTTCATTGTGAGTGTACCAAATACTTTGCGAGAGGATCAGCCTTAGGGTCATTCACAGGGTAAATGTACATGATAAGAACATCTTAAAAGAACCCAGACAAGTGCTTAGAAAACTTAGGAACCCCAGGTGTTTAAAAGGAGTGAGGTGGGCGGGTGGGGAGAATTGTGATTTCTGTTACAGTATGTAAATGTATACCTCATTTAATACAGACTGGATATCATAAAAGACTTCTAGTTCTACAAATCATACTTGAAATGAATTAATATTTAATAAATCGAGCAACTCTGTATCAAATCTTAAGCCAAGATTACTAAATGATTTACTTTTTTACAAAGTAAGACAGTCACATTTAGAATGTGTTCAAAATGTGTCATGGTACACATTTCCTTAACGTGGCCAATCTAATTCAAAAGAGTGTCATGAGCGTTACTACTATCTTTTATGGGCAACTCCAGGGTTCGACAAAGAATGGCCTGTGAGCGAAATTTAGCCTACCACTTGGTTTTGCAAATCCAGTTTGACCAGAACACAGCCAGCCATGTTCATGCACCTACTGCTCTACAGGCACAGAGGGAAGCAGTTGCAGAGGTGACTATGGGCAGCAGAGCCTATCTAGTCTTTACAGAAGGTCTGCTAATCCCTGAGCTGTTCCGAGAGTCTTGTCAGGAAAAACTCAGAGAAGCCAAGTCACTACTGTCCATAAAACAATCTAGTACTTTTTAAAATGGAAACTAAACAAATTAATCAAAGGCCTTATTAAAATGCTTCAGGTATTTAAACCCGTCACAAAGTGAATACCAAAATCAAATTAAGTATTTCCTCCCAATAAATATCTTACGTATTATAAACATTTCTTCATAACACATCATAGGATGGTAGAATGTAATAGTGAAACTTAATTTAGAATGTCTCTGGCAAAGTCACTTGACACTTTGTCGGATGTTTAACGTTACTCATAAATTTCCAGAAAAAGGAAACTATTATTGGTAGGTCATATTTGATCAGAGCAGTCAAGCAGAAACTATGGTGCATGTGAAAGACTCGGACATAAAGGAACTATGTACGTATCAGTGAATGGAATTCCTGTCAAATGCAATGAACTACGTTCTTAAACAGAGTGCTTTTTTTCCCAACTAAATCTGCTTTTCTCCAAACTGTGTAACTTTGTAATTACTTTGTGTTTGTCCCTGTAGTCTCTGCAAAAACAAATTTTGATTACTTTTTTTTTTTTTTACCTTGAGATCACGGTACACAATCTTTCCGGAATGTAGATAGTCCAAGGCAGAGACAATTTCTGCACCATAGAAACGTGTGCGGTCCTCGGAGAACACCCGCTCTCTCGACAAATGGAAAAACAGCTGCAGGGTAAACAGCAGGGACAGGATTGTAATAATTACTGATTTAGTGGGGGAAATTAACACAAACATAAAACACCTCTCATCACCATATTGTGATGATAGATAGTGTACTCTCAGTGGACACTGAGCACTCTTACACAGCAGCTGGCTTATCTTCTCCAGGTTTCCAAGGGGAGACTGCGAGCTGTTAAATCAGCGTTTTAATCAATATACCAATCTTGTTTAAGGCATTCTGTTTGCTACCCATTTAACCTTCAGTTACCAGAGGAAAAAAGTATACATCATCAGATTGCATTTCCTCCTCACTATACTGTTGCTTCCCTCTTTCAAGGATTAGGCATTGCGTTGAGACATGATTAAAATAAATGTAGAGAACAGAGATGTAATATTTCTACTTAATTATTTGATTTACATTTGATTTCAGAGAAAGGATCGTTGATGCGCTAAAACTGATGGATGTGAACTTGTGATATTCTACAACTGTTGTTGCTTCATCAAATCTCTAGAAATGTTTTCAAAGTCCAAATCAATGTTTTCTACAATGACAAACTGTAAGGCTTCATTTTGGTAATGGCCAAAAGGGACTGAGATGCTCTTGTTATTCCCCTTATGGTTCTATGTCCAAAATAACTGCCACACCAACCTCCCCTCATATAATTACCTAAAACCATAAGCTCATTCACTTCCTATTCATCATCTACAGGACAGACCACTCTGCAGTCAACAGGTATTTCCTTCCTGGCTGCTCACTGTGGCCACACACTCAGTTCCCCTCTAAAGCCTAAGCCAGCTCCTTATTTAGAAAACTGCCCATCTTGTCTCTCAGTTCAACAATGCATCTAGGGAAGGAGCAGGTTCCAGGCACAATGAATGGACTTCTAATGCACTATTTCACTGTATTAAGAAATCTGCCAAGAACAATGAAAGTTTGTTGACAGTGCTGAGTACACTGCCAGGTATCACGGTAGGTACTTAATACACATCTGTGATTAAAGAAATGAACCTATCAATCAGTGTCTCCTTGACTATAAGATCACAAACTAACTACACCTTCCCATGGATTACGGACTCTTAGCACTTCTACAAATGTGTAAGAATTACAGTTAACCAAGATTTGTTCCTCACACACCAAATCCTAATTTAAGCAACATAAAAAACAGATTCCTTCTGACAGATTTCTTTCCTTTTTCCACCTCCACTGAAGAGTCTATCATTATTTTAAGATAATTTTTACACATACCCATTGTCACAGTAGAGTGGGAGGGAATATGACATAACAATTGCCAAAAAAGACTGGCTTAACATTAGTTATAGTAAAACTAAAATATATGACTAACAGTCTCTAAACTCTAATGCTCTCTACTATCTTGTCATATTTTATCAGGTCTACGATGTTCTTGATTGGAATTCCATCATCATTTTAAGTAATAGCCAGAAACAAAGAAGTTGCCAATTAAAGCTATAACCAACCATCAAGTGTAAAAGACATTCTGACTGCAAAAATGTTAAAATACGTCTTACAAATGATCCAATATAGTATGCCAAAAATCAAACCAATGCATACAATTGTTCAGGAATATTTCTTCAAATTTACTCATTTTATATAGGCAGATAATATATATTATTAATGTGTTACCATTCAAATGGGGATGAGAGGAGAAAGAAGTATCTATCACCAGTAAAGCCATTCTGAAAAATTTCTGGGTCAAAATAATTTCTGCCATGCTTTTTTCAAAGTATCACTAACTTGGATGAAGGAACTCCTATGATCTCTATGTAAATTTATGGCAATCTTCTAATGGGATGAAAATATTGTTTACATTTCTGAATTTTTAGAAAAATAATGTAAAGCCTACTACTTCCTCATCTACTGTATTAAAGATATAGATCCTCCCTAAATCAATATAATACATGCAGGCTTCTAGATCTTTATTTAGACCATATTCTTCAATTTGTCTCCCAGCCAATTTCTATAAAAATATCAGCTAAAAAAACGATACTTAAGGAGAAAACTCTATTTCTCAATCTGCTGTCCTCTGATGTCTACCCGTTTTACCTTATGGAACTTATTTTTGCAAAGATAACCAAGAATCTCTTGATTGCCAAATTCAATGATCTATTTATAGTCTGTACTTCTTCCTGTTCTGGACCTGAGCACATCGGCTGTTGGCCTCTCTTTGGCTTTGGTGATACAGCTCTCTCCTGCTTTTCTACCTAATTCTCTATATCCTCAGTTTTCTACCTTGGCATTGAACCAACTTTCCATTTAATGAGCATTAATTATTTTAAAGTCACTGTGTTGAACACCAGGGAGAGACAAAGATGGCATACAGACATAAAGAAATCATATGAAAACAATAAAAGACCAAAGCACAAAGAAAAAAATGGAAGGGACGACAATTAAAATGAGTGGAACACAAATGAATACAGTTTATGAAAACATATCACTTATAATAATAATAATCAATGAAGCTGAGATAAAAACAAAAATGAGAGAATTTAGTGTATCCAGAAATAGCATTGTCAGTGAAAGTGCTGGGAGATAAGTATCTTTATACACTGGTAGCTGGGATGTAAGCAGATAGCAACTTTTCACAGGGCAATTGGCAATAGATACTAAGATAATTTTTAAAATACCATAGTTCCTCTTTAAAAAAAAAAAGGAAAGGTAGAAGTCTACAAAAGGATATTCTCTGTAGTAGTACATATAATGGTAAAAATGCAAAAACAGCCTTCGTGCCATATGGAAAAATAAAATTAGATTTTCATCTAGTATCACACAAAATAAAATTCTGATGTAATTCATAGTTAAATACAAAATATTAAGCTAATTAAAAACTAGAAAATAAGAATGAAAAGCCCACAGCGCCAGATTTACCCCCTTGCTCTATACAACTGGGCAAAAATACATAAAACGGAAAAATGACAATTGGGAAAAAATTTATAACAGAATCCTCCTTAGATGCTGGACAACAGGCAGTGCAGGACTAAGATCTTTGTGAAGAGAGAAACAAATGAGTGAGACCTAAAACCACTAGTCTTCTGTCTGAGGGCAGTTTGTGGAACATGACCAGCAGGAAAGGAGATCCTAAGCATAACTCAGAGGTCTCACTATTGGAAAGTGAAAAGCAGATTTTGAGGCAGGTAAGGTGGATAGCATTTGCAGGTCAGAATGAATATCAATGAGGAAGACACTATACAAAATCCGCACATTGAGTCTGCTGCTGAATATATAACAATGTGTGGGTCAGGTTAAGCTCTATGAGAACAAGCAGAGAAGGAATGGGTATCTGTATGCCAAATAATTCCTGGAGGTCACTCAGAGCTGAGATGTTCAATTTCTAACCAGTCAGAACAGTGTCATTACCCAACAGCCTGGCATTCAGTAGACATTTTAAAACAGCCAAAGTTAAACACACAAAAGCTAACAAATATGAAGAAGAGAACAAAATCCAGACATCCATGTAAAATTCCAGTGATCTGGTACTCTGATTAACAATTACGAGACAGAGAGATGCAGAAAATGTGACCTATAACCAAGAGAAAAATCAGTCATTAGACACAGACCTTAAAAATAGCAGAAACGATGGAACAGTTTGACTTTAAAATTGAGTAGAAAGAAGAGATAAAGGAAAATAAAAGTAAAAGTAAATGTGACTTCTAGAGACAAAACCTATAATATCTGAAATAAAAAATCCACAAGATGGGATTTACAACAAATAGACATTGTAAGAGGAAAAAAAAAAAACCCCAATCAATGTAAAATCAGAGTAAAAGACACTATATAAACTGCAACTAAAAAAAAAAAAAAAAAAAAAGCCTCAGGAACCTGTTGACAGTGTCAAAGAGGCTAACATATGTATAAAGGCAGTTCCTAAAACGGGGAGGGAGACACTTGCAAAATCATGCCTGAAATTCTCCCAACTTGGATAAAAATGATAAACACATAGATAAGTGTATTTCAATGAACCCCAACATGATGAAAGTTTACAAGAATGCACAATCAGAACATAAGAAGTCAGACCATATGCAAATCACAGAAAAACCAAGGACAGAAAATCTTAAAAAAATTCTATGTGTGTGTGGGGAAACATTACATATCGAGGAACAAATAGGAGGATAATCCTAGACTTCTCAGAGGCTATATGAATAAAAAGGCAATGGAACAACACACCCAAATGGCTAAATAAAAAACAAAAAAGTATCTTAAAAATTCTGCATCCAGGGGGAATAATCCATAAAATAGGAAGCACATGTATGTGAGAAAAATACTAAGGCCAGGGAACAAAGCAATGGAAAAAGATCAAGTGACATGACAACAGGCTCACAAAGAGCCCAAAGTACTTTGCATCCTCTCCAGGAAGGATGGAAAGGCTTCCTAAGAAATGTGGCACCTGGGGGTGTCTGTGAAGTTATGGCCTCCGTAGCACAGCAATATTAGTGTTAGAGCAAAGGCTAGTGTGACCAGGTTCAGCTTAAAAGCAAGCTTGGAAAAGATCACTGTTTATAAGTAAGAACAATTTCATCCAATAAAAAGTTATCAGGCACAAAAAGAAAGGGAAATAGAACCCATTACTAGGAAAAAACATGAATAAGTAGAAACTGACTCAGAAAGTGACACAGATGACTAAAATAGAACACTGGGATAAAACAGCTATTAAGATATAGTCTAAAAGTTCAAAAGGTAGAAAGAGAAGCATAATAAGGAAATAAAATGGAAATATAAAAGGAAAAGTCACAAATTAAACTCCAAGAAATAAAGTCTGAGATGTCCTAGATGAAAAATGAAAAACTGGATTGAATGAACACAGTATGCTAGACACTGGAGGAAAACCATGATAACAGACTTCAAGACACAGGAACCACATCCAAAATTAAATATAGGAAAAGATATGAAAAAGATGGACTGAGCATTAATGAACCATGGGGACAGTATCCCACAGTCTAACAAGTGAGTAAGTGAACTCTCAGGACAGGACTAGAGAAACGAAAAGAACAGA